GTGGTAACAAACGTACGGCAATGCATTAGCTGACTAGGACTATAGTTCACAATTGTCCAGAACTGAAATAGTTGACTGACCTGAATGACCACAATCTGCACAAAGGTCATTTCCAGGTAGTGACCGTACCATGCTTAAAATGCTTGCTGGTGGACTTATTGTATTCAATGAATCCAAACTTTTACTTTTTCTGATGGGTCCAGCCTCATCCTAAGTAGAATTCAGAGAATTGGTGTTTAGTGATTAATTTTCCTTCAACTGTTGTAAAATATAGTGAACTGAAGAGGTTTTATTAAAAGAAATTTTTTAGTTTTCACTATTCTTGGTAGTCCCTGTGACCAGTACGTACTAAAATTATGTTATGAATTGATTTGCATTTGTAAAGTTTATGGCTATTACAAGATTTTTTGAAGTCTCGGCRAAAGCTATTTGTCAAAGATTAATTTTCATCTTTTGAATTATACAGTAATATAAAAGAAGTTGAAAATTTTCAATGTCAGACTAACTGAATTAATGATTCAACGAATGGATAGATTCACAAGTGAATAGATAAGTGAATGAAGTAATCATTCAATGGATGAATACATTAATTTTTACTGATTGATTGACAGGTATCACTCACCTCACTATCCGAGTCGTGATGCGATGCATTAAATGCTTGGTTTATTGTCGTCTAAAAATATAAGTTCATCGTCAAGAAACAAAAAAAAAACGAACTAAGACACATTCACAATCAGTTGTTACATATTTGATTTGAGCAAAGGAATCAGTCTTTTTGTGCTATTATTATGCTATGAATTTATACTATTTTACCTGTAACGTTGAGATCCAATCATCTCGTATCACGTCCGAGTCAGCCTGAAGACACCAAACCCTAAAACACATGCAAAAAATAAACAATTTTGTACACTCAAGTCTCTGTGATATGCTCAATTTTTTGAATATAAACTAAGTCCTTACTTKGTGGGKGACACAATATCAAAACAAAACCKTCGTTCAACTTCATCATTTGCCTTGACATTGCAAAGTCGTAGRTCTTCAGCTAAAACAGTTTGTTCATCCTAAACAAGAACATTAWATGAGTGTGAGCTGAGCTGGTATTTCTAATGAAACAGATAACACCCCAAAAGATGTTGTTCTATCTTTAACATTGTATTATTTATCAATAAGTATTGTTAATAAATAATWTATTTTGATCAACAATAATGACTTTAATTACAAACCTTTGATCGTTTTTGGTAGTGGAGCTGGTTGTTTTGCACTGCAAAATATCTCCTGCAAAAAATGAAGCGAATTTGTATTGTGGACATTATCTGAATATAAAACTAACCTGTCTGCAATTAGAATTATATTCTTTTTAAGATGAATATTATGATAGTATATTACTTTATATTACCTCTGCCAGGTCTTGAAAGCATTGCTGCTTCTCTTGAACAAATATCCTTCAATAACAACATCGCTGAATAATAAAAAGTAACATTGCATTATTTACTGGACTTCATAGAGTGCACGTCACATAAGCATGAAACAATTCTTAATATGTATTGCTAAATACGATTTAGTTATCAAGTAACTAAGAATTCAGCAAAGCATACACACAATGCCAATTATTTAAATTCCTTTGTAGCATTGTTCTCAATTCTTAGTTGATAACTAAATCTTATTTAGCACTACATAGTTAAGAATTGTTTCATGCTTAATATGTGACTTGCACTCTACTGGAAATTAAAAATAAATCAAGATAAGATTCATTCATTCATTCTTTTATTTTCCCATTTTTTTATTTAGTTTATCTTACCCTGGATGATCAGGAATTTTTTCAAGGGCATTCTAAGAAGAAAGGACAAAAAATATTAAATAATTACTTTAAAGGGCTACTTGGACGAAAATTGCGAAACCTTAGAAAAGACTTGGAAATCAAATAGACCTAACCATATGGGTCTAATAATCATGAAGCAACAGATTTCAAGAAGATATTGATACAAATCCTTAATAATTCGAGCAAAAAATTTTGGAGTAAATGACGTCATTTACTCAATCCTTTTGTTCTTCCATCTTTTGAATCAAAATTTCTCTGATGTGGGATAATTCCAAAACAAATATTTTCCCAAAATTGTTTTTAATAGATATAAATGAGTCATATATTTGTATTTTTTGAAGTTTTGAAATAAGGGCATTTTCATGCATTAGTAGCACTTTAAGATTGAGGACTCACTTTCCTCATATTACAAATTGTTACATGAATGAGAAAGTCAATACATGGACAAATGGATGGTTGAGATGGACGGACAGACTGATAACATAGACGAACAACAAAACAAAATATTCACTGAGAAAAGCTCTATAATTACCCTTTTTTGTACAAGTGTGTGTCTYTCTTCCATGTCCTTTTTATCAACCATAAACTGGATCGACAAACCATCAAGCTAACAAAACAAAACATGATATAATTATCAAGTCCTGTCTGTGTGAAACATGGGGAAAAATTGCTGAGTTTATCTAACTTGCAATCTAGTGTACTGTGTGAAAATAATGAGCCTACATGTACATGTAAACACAGTTTATGTGCAAAAAACATGGTACATTCGTGCTGTGACCATAACGTGCCATAGCGGTGATGTATTATTGTTAAATCTTTATTTTTATTTGGAATCCTAGAAGGCGAGGTTCCATGACCGTGCCATGCCGTGATCTGTGCCGTTGCACAGTCATGCAAAATCTGCTCTAAAAATAAGCGGCACTGTACCACCAGTAGCCAGCTATTACTGAATCCCCTGATAAAGCCTGCATGTACTCTCCTGACAGAGGGAGGGGTAGGGAATAAGGTTTACCTCATCATTAATGTTCTTCATGTATGATTCCAGATCATTCATTAAATCRTAACCTTGATGGAAGTAAGCAAAATGTGCATGTACAAACTTGGAAACCTAGTGAAAAAACAAACATTATCATCGTCAAAATAACAGCAACAAAGCAAAGTATACAGACTCCCTCCCTCCCCCCTCAGAAGCAAATTTAGCCCCTCCCCTCCCCCCATAAAAAGAGAATGAGCACCGGCACCCCAAAAGCATCTTATTTTTGCATTCTAATGAAGATACAAATAAAGAGATTTACTTCTTTTTATTTTGAAGAATTCTCTGTATGTAGAATTCATAATTAAAAAATTAGATTCTTCTACAGTATGTACTAGATAAAAGGAACTTATTTTCCAAGCTTTTGGATCAATCACCTTAGTTCAGTCTCATGATGGATCGATAGCTGACTTTAGATATTTTGGTTCAGTGACTATGCACAAACGAATTGTAGACAAGGCTCCGGAAAATAAAAAGATAAATCAAGATTATCCGCTGTTTTCCCGGAGCCTCGTGTGCGTTCTTTTGTACATAGTCATCTAACCAAAATATCTAAAGTTGACTATTGATGTGAAAGCTTGGAAAACAAATTCCTTTTATCTGACGTATTGTCTCTCTTTGTTTTTGCTTTTTATTTTAACACTTCTTACAGTGTCCAGCACTTCAATTCTTTTCCTTGCTTGTAAAACATTAATCTGGAATCATGAAAGCATTATCATCAGTAATTCTAATACATATATTTATAATTATTATAAAAGAGTATTCATTTATATATAAATAAATGTAAGAGTATTCTGTCAGTACAAACACTAAAAGCGTACAACACCTTCCACTATTTACTGCAAAATAGTGCTAATTAAACAATAGAAAACAATAGAATTAGCATACTTTAGCAGTATTTAGTGGTATTTATGTTGCACAGTTTTAGTGTTTGCAAGCACTCTATAGTTAGTACCTGAAATGCATAATCCAGCGAAATATGGTCAAAGCACGATTGCATGGCTGTCAAAATGTTTTTATCCTGGTAAAAAGAGTATAAATAACAATTAATGACACATAAAAATACAATATTTATAAATTACTAATCAGATTAATAAAATAATATTATCATTTAGTGGCATAAGGACAATGCGTTAACCATCAACAAAGAAGAATAAACACAATAAGATTAACAAATTATTAGAGATAATTAATGTATTACTAATAATTAATTATAATTAATAATTATCACCTCTTCTGCTTCTTGAGGCTTGCAGGTTCTTGGCAACTGAGCATGCTTATAAAAAGCACTAAATAAAATAAAAATAACATGTCACATTTTTGTTTGCTAATAATTATCAATTTTCAATTAATATTACAACGATGATTATTTATAAATCATTGCAAAATATAAAAGCTGTTTAATCGGTCTAATGCAATTATTTTGTCAAAGTGAAATACAAGGTCTACATTCTAGCGTACTTGGCTGCTGCAGGAATGCTCCATTGCTTACAATGGCTTCTTGATGTTTACTTAACTAAGTCAGAGAATGTTTTTTTCAAAATTTCAGTTTGACTGGTCMAAACTGCGAAGGGATGACCTTCTTAGCTTAAAGAAGCTTTGACTGTTCCACTCACCAACAGTTTTTTATATTATTTTCTCCTATGAAATACAGTACAAAACTCAATAATATAACTTATATGTTAAGTTTTTTATTCAAAGCTTATCATTAGTGAAAACATTATTATATCCACTTAAAATGTTTAAAGTTTATATGATCCTTACTTGTCCAAGTCGTCACTTATTTTGTCGAACAGTTTCTTGGTGTCTTTGACTTTTTTGATATCACTAGTAACAAAAGTACAGCTGACACATTAACACACAAACCATGATGTACACAATGCTATAAAACCCACTTACTCCTTTATAAAGTTCTGCAGGGTCTGCGTCACAGATCTCTGTGTTTGATCMAGCAGCATCTATGTTTAAACAATTTAAATCACATCTAAATATTAATATTGTACATTCAAGGTACATTTTCAATAAGATTTTTCATTGGGTCAGTTCTCAGCGCCAAGAACATTGCTGGTAATTGGTTGGCTCAACACAGCGTGACTCTAAAGAATGAGGCATAAACAATAGAGCCTATTGTTGCAGCCAGCCAATCAAAATGACTTTTATTTAGAGCTGCGAGACCTCTGTTTTTATCTTTAGTTGTTATGGTATTTTCACTTTCATATGTCATGATCACGTTCCATGGCACTGGGGACGAAGCACTAAAACGAGGTCTCAAAGGCCAGCCTATGTACAGTAAACTTCAATGGTGTCTTGCAATTAAATAAATAATACCAATACATCTTCCAAACTATAGAACTGCAATACATGCAATCTCTGTGGTGTTTTTTTAGATGTAAGGCTTTTAAAGGTTGTGAAATACAACCACTTTTGAAAGTGCTGTAACACACAACGTTTTCTTTTAAAAACAACAAATGCTGCTAACACTAGTGTAAGAGCTAGTATTTTATCATAAGCAAAAGAAAGATTGCCATACCTCTTGTACTTACCGAAAGATAGTTCATTAACTCTGCTAAAACACACTTAAACTTCTTCAAAGAGCCGAACACCAAATCATCGCCATCGAAGTACTTGATCAACCCCTCAACACCGCTCAGTAAACCACTTGAAAATGAATAAAATTATATAAAATTTTTAAATATGGATTTAATCGTATGAGGAAGTAGCTGATCCCATTAAAGAGTGCTCAATACACAAAAAGTGTAGAGCTAGTTATATATATATGATATCAAAGAGGCAAGATTTATGAATTGTATGATAACTACAATTATAATGATGATGATGATGATAATGACACTGTCTCCTTCTCCAGACAATCCAAAGGTGACCTTCCATGTAGCTTAATTTAATATCTTTAAAAATATATATGTTTTGTAAATAAAATATTCCAATACCTTTTTGAGTTATTGAAAGCTTTCCCAGCCTCCACCATGTTGTTACATTGCTTGTTAATCTTAAAAAAATAAATTATTATAAAACATAAATTCTCATGCATAAAGAATGAAAATAGTTTATTCTATGATACTGTTTCTGTGAACAGAAGAGGGACATAAATTGTTGTCTTATAAGGACAAGATTCTTTGACCAGACAAACTTGCTCTCTGCTGGCTTATTCTCAAGATGTTTTAATGAACAGGTAGCATATTCCAGGAACGTTATATTATAATAAACAACAACTTATAACAATGATTTATAATTCAAAATAATTATTACAATGATTAATTATATTTAATAATATTTTTAATAAGAATGTTCACCTTCTCCAGAAGACTCTCAAGTGTAGTGATATCATGCTCGCTCTGTTCTATCTGTAACCTAATCATAAATCATTTATAAATCATTAATTAATATAACAAATCCTTTATCAAAATAATCCTGTATCATTCCAAATGTTATTAAAATTAGTACTTTTAACATAACATAACAGACCTTCATGGCTTTCAATTAAATTATTACCAATTGCTTGGTTATCAAGCCTGACTTCCTTCCCAAAAATATACATGTACGTATGTTAATTTGTTTATAATTTTACCTACAGCATGTTATCATAATTTAGATAATTAATATATAGGAAGTCTATAGWATGGACAAAAATAATCAATTTTTAATCATAAAATGGATAGTTCTTTAGTTAAAACTCATTTTAACACCAGCACTTTACTAATCAGAATACAAAACGTGCAATAAAAAATGCGAACAATGATTGCACGTAYTTCTTGATCATTGATGTGATGTCGKTAGACAGGACTGTTTTGTAAACGCRAAGAGATAYAAACAATACAGAGACAATTTTATGAGTCTAGTGTTTRAAGTAACCCTTAAAATGATATCCAGAGGYCTGTCCAAAAGCTTGTCAACATTGTTGACGTTTCTGGATGTAGACCGATGTCCTTGTATAGCGACCTGTCGTGAGCAATTAACTAACGATGTAAGAATCTGGCAAATTTGGTTTAATATATTAATTAGAAAGCAATCAAAGCCACAAAATAAACAGATGACAACCATGTTACCAAATATTTTTATCACTAACTGACTATGCCAGAAGAAAAACATGCTAAAAATAGATTTTATTTTATAAAAGAGCTGTAGGATTTTGAAGTCGTACGATCTGTCGGAAAACCTTCATAAACACGACTTTTATCTTACCTAAATCGAGGRGAATCCTTCAAACACTCATCGAAGTCAACTGGCTGTTTCATAACCTTTTTATCCATTGCTTTATCGAGAGCATCGAGGGTCGTAATRATGTTTTCCTTCAGGGAAATGTGGGGTTGTGTCTTGTCATCCATCGGCCGCCATCTTGTCTTGCCTTCATTTTAGTCACTAGTTTCGTTTYACTTGCTCTTCTTTAATACCACAGGGACCCCAAGTAGAGGGAACCCAGGGTATTGCAAATGCATTGTGAATGAACGTGAATAATGGAAAAATGCATGGATGGATGGATAGAAAAGAGTTAAGAGATTAAAGTAAGAGAACTTTCCCCTTTCTCGATCAGTAATTCTTATTTAATTTATTTATTACATGATCAACACAAGCAATTTATAAACATACAAATAGACACAAATAATAAAAGTTTATCTCACAATAAGACAGGCTCGTTTGGGTCACATGCTGATTGTCCATGAGGCGTTTAGTATCCTCCAAACATCAGGCAACATTTGAAAAAAGACCATAAACAACGGGTTTTTTTCTCGACATATTTCGACTATTTGTGCTCCATTCGATGCAACCATGGTATCATGAATATACCATAGTTCAGTAGCCAATCAAAATCCTGGATTTGTAATTACCCATAGTTTGGTGCAAACTAAATAGTGTTTAATTCCCTTAAAACTCAGGTCATATATCAAACTTAGAACTGCACTGATAAGACATGATAAGTCGAGGTTTKAAGACCACACACATCAATGACCATCAGTCTGTGAATCTGAATTGTGACCAAATAATTACCACGCGCAGTCACGTGACAAGGGATATGATTTTTGTCTGAGCGAGTGTCAGCGTCCATATTGTGATAATATCATCAGACATTGTTATATAGAATATATTTATTATGTGTATAATGGATATCAAATGAAATTGTATAATTTTAATTAAAAATAGTAAGTACTTTTAAGTAAATTACTAATTACTAAAGTACTAATTAAAATTGTAACAGTGATACCTCTATTCAACGGTTTTAAGCTCGCGACTTTCCAAATTGGGCGTTTAATAGAGGTTATAGTCCCCTAAATAATAGATGAACATAAGAACTGATGAACTATCATTGGCCTTTTTATGTTGGGGTAATTACTTAGTAGCTATAGAGGGTCACCGCTGCATAGAGGTTCCACTTTAACGCATGTCTATTTAAAAATAAACGTCTATCTATGAATCAGTGTGTGTTACTGCCAATGTTTAGATATTAGCAGTCCGTTGTGCTAAGATTAACTATAAAGCGATAACCTATAATATCTATATTTGATACATGTATAACATGAATCGATTCAAAATGTTATCTATGCCAATGATAAGCATTAGCAATGACTAAGTATTATTACTACAAAAATATAAGTGTATAACATATTTTGCATATATATAAGAGTAATACAGCGCCGTAGCCAGAGTAAAATGTTAACCGAGACACTTAACACGACCGGCGGAAGCGGTCGTATCTAAGGGGTTCGCGGGCATGCTTCCCCGAAACATTTTGTAATTCAGACACTCGGAGCATATTGTGACTTTCATAGTATCTTATACCATTGATAGAACGTTTTTTTTATTTTTGAAACGAATTAAAGAAAACTCGATAAACTTTTACCGAGACAAGAGCCTCGCTTGCCTGATCGTAGCTACGGCGCGGTAATACGTGTATAACATATTTTGGCAATCTAATTGCTTCTTGACTTTAAATGATGAGAAATTAATACTATTAATACTACAATAATATGAGTTTATAATATTTTTTTTTTTGGAAAGAAATTCCGACCGCAAACATATGAAATATATCATTCAATTAGTGATTGATATTTGTCATTAGTATTGGCATTACATTGCAGATATATTTCTAAATAATCCTAATTATGCATAATTTCAATAATTATGTGAATAATTTGTAGAATGGACAATGATGATTCTTTTTGATGAATTCCCTGAAATGGACACATTTGAAAAACATGCAATATGGAAAAATGATGATGACGATTAAACCCTAGGACAAACCCTATAGCACTTATCCTAGCCCTACCCTAAATCTCCAACCCTACCCAAACATCAACCCAGAGTTAGTGATCAACCGTAGCCCTAACCGTCTGGACCAAAGCCGTGGGTCACGTGATCCTGGGTTTTAGGATTAATGAAAGTCCTCTATTTACCCTAACACTCACTAGTTMCATATTTCCTGYTTTTGCCTTGTTCATCAGTCTGAAGTTTTTCGAGTAGCGCGAGAGGCATGTTGGTGCCAGGATCACTGTTGCTCCTTGACAATCTTGGATTAACATCTGCATGGACTAGCTGATGAAGTCCTTGTGATCCTTGTGAAGTCCTTTGACTGTTGGTATCACCGTCAGACGGGTTTCTCGTGGAATCTTCAGGGGTTTCTTCAGGATCTCCCTCCTGCATTACATGATATTCTGAAGGATCCATTTCTGTTTGAATGGCAACGTCTYTTCCTGCGAAAACATCTTTMCATGTATCTTCTCCGTGAATTAAATCTTCGGAAAATGCATATCTGCTATGGTTTCTCGGCGCCGTCGGCCTATTAGACGTTTCTCCTGGGTTGGGATCATGTTGTTCGAGATCATCATCTTGAGGATTAATGTCGGYTGTTTGAATGCCAACTTCTTTTACTTCAAAAAAGGCCTCYACTATCTTCTTGATCTTAYATSCATTTTCTTTGTCAACAAACTCCTTGGGTTTGCCGCCTCGAAATATCTCAAYCAWTTTTGGGATAAGYCCRGTCAAAAAAAYGRCSAWCGTCTTTGTCAAGTCATTTTTAAGAMTTGTTTCTCCATATRCCAARATAGCACAGTAGRTTAAGACCAAAAACGATCCAATGACTACAATCTTTAGAAACATTACGGTGTAGGCTTTACTAAATGGCAGAATTTCATCGACGACGTTTTGGAAAAGATCACTCAATCGCTTAATTCTTGGTATCTCTTTTTCATCTATTTTTATTACTTTTCTTTCTTGTTTTTCTTGATATTCTTCACATTTGCTGTATGTTTGTTCAAGAAGGTCTTTGTATGTATTTCCAACAGAGCTGAAGCAGTTCCAAATGTAGAACGCAAAAAGAGTAAAGAGTGCAATAAGCGGCAAAAAGTCATCTTTACTGGCTACTATCCCCATGATGAGATAKGTGATGAATCGTGAAACTAATAGCAGTGAGTGAGAGATTATAACTACCAAGGAGTTCATCAAGGGGTACATCATGGAAAAGGAGACCGCATAAACTAGAAGTATAACCATAAGTATTGATAAGTTCAACTTGAAGCACTCGAGCCCCGTTATTTCAAACCATCCAATGAACCTTGAGCTATACCATAAAATGTGGATAATCACATGAGAGAAAAAGATTGTACAAAATCGGATCAAAGGCGAGATGTATAAGCCGTAGACGATAAATACAATTACAAGGAAGGGAAACACGAACAAAATAGCGAGGGAGCTTAGTAGAAATTTAATAATTTTGCAGCAAAGAGAAGTTTGACCTTTGAACCAGATCAGTCTCTTTAAAGCTTGTTTAGCAATAGAGTAAGGTACCATCCAATCCATCTTGAGATCAGTCAACTGGTGAATCAAGGATTTTAGTTTTAGTACTTGTCTTTGCAACCTTTGCGGTGCCTGAGAAAAATCAAGAGTTTCAGTTCGTTCAGAGAAGGAAATTAATAGGACCGCTAAAATATAAACTGTAACTGAAAGGTCTACTCTTTGGAGTTTTTCCTTCTTCCAATCCTTTCTTACGGCATCATTGAAGATCTTTGGTATGTCATAATTGGCTGTGTGCGATATTAGCCCGCAGTGAATATAAAAAAATATAGGCAGTGAAAAACCAATAACAAGTCTTTTTACTTTGTTATGATGTCGTATTCTTTGGACAGAAAAGTTTGCAAAACGATACAAAGGATTACGAGCTTGTGCATTGGCGCTTATGGTTTGTGAGCTGTCGACTTCATCAGGAAAGCCAGTGAAAATGACGGGAAAACACAAAAAGAATATTGTTCCTACAATCACCATTGCAATGAAAACTCCACGCATCTCAGAACTTTCGGAGGCAGAAATGTTACATTTTATTTSCATGTGAAAGTCTCTTTTGTGGCAACATTTATATTTCGTAATACCCCAAGTAGCGTTCTTAATAACATAACACAATGCACCTTTCAGTTGAGTGACGTTAGTTAAGAATGCTTSCGCCAAACTTGCTGTAACGCAACTGTAACTTATGTTCTGTAAGCATTTAGGCGATTCAAATTCAACCATCAATGGCATGTCATGAACTTTCCGCCATAAAGTCGTGAATGAATAAACATTGAAGCCCAAATCAAGCGACAGGAATGGTGCTGTRATGCTTTCAACCCAAACGAGATTGACGGGATCCAGAATATCAGTGTCTTCTGAAGGCTTAAGACTCGATAAATTGTTGCCATGAAAATGCACAATCAACGCTTGAGATTCGCGCAATGAGAGGGAGTCAAACCTGTCCGCAGAGGTGTGAGGCAATATAACCTTGCAGCTATTTTTGCATGGCGATGAATTATGCTCAAATTCTGAAACAATGCCCGGTATATCCAAAATGTCGGCCAAGAAAACTACATATCCAACTAAAATCCATAGGAATGTACATATTGCCAAACCAAATGAAAAGAACCGACTATGCTCCATTTTCCAGTTGCTTTTCCTTCTCTACTCAGGAAACTTGGAATGGGGATGTGCAGTCACAGGAACTGAAATAAAAATTCACGGTAATACAAAAATAGTCTTTCCGAGAATCCGCTGATTTTGAGGTCAAGAGATGGTCCATCACGTGTTTTTAGATAAACTCCTCGCAGCCGTTTTCAGGTGTTATTTCGCGTTATCAATGAAAATTTTGAGGTCATGAGGTTGTCCGTCGCGTATTTTTAGAAGCTCACAGTGTTGGCAAACTTAAATTTAAACTTTGTTGACTTCATTCAGCTTACAATGATACCAGTAAAATTTATTTACCATGACTAGCCTGCGTACTTATTAAAAAGCACCGGCTGGATACATAGTGTTGGCAAACTTTAAAGCATTATGGCAATTACCTATTGGGTAATAAGTGTATATAAGCCCCTAACATTCATGTAAATAGGGCAACGTCTTGTCCTGAGAGAGAATGTTAAAAGACCTATCTGCTACTCTGCTAAATAACTATGCCGCTTGTTCAGTGTCKAAAATTCCAGGAAACACGACGTATTTGTACGTCCATAAATCCCACGGTACARCTCGAAAACGTCAAGGGAAAGGAGCACTCTTTTAAAGAGAGCAACTTCCCTTCCTGAGCAATGTTTCTGAAATAAACTTTATCTGTTGTAGATTGTATATCCGTCATTATTATATTGTATAATTTTACGTGTGATTTTTAAATTAAAGTCTTATTTTGTGGTTTCATTCTTGAATTATATTAAGACACTTCAGATTTTCGTCTTCATAAGCCTGCAAGAGAAACAAAAGAACGTTGTTTACTTATTGTAGTATATCGGAATCAAACAAATCCTTGTCATCTTAGTAATGACAAGATCGTCCATTAAAAGTAGTATATTAAAAATAAACAACTGTCAATTTATTAGAGTATAGTGGTCGCATAAAGCCAGCAAAAGAGGCGACTGAAGTGACTGACAGTAGCCTTTTGAGTAGCATATCATGGTCAAACAACTCCAACTTACAGAACTTAAGAGATCTTTACTAGAGATCATTAGAAGTAGKATATCGGGGTCAAACAACACCATCTTTAGTAGAGTATCGTGTTCGAGTTGAGTAAATCAATCTCATAACTAGAGCATTGCAGTGAAAGTCAATACGTTCTCACTGCAGACCGCTGGAATTTACCCGTGAAAACTCTTGGCTCAAGAGTGACTCTCAGCCATACTTTATAAGAAAAGCAAGTGACGTCATCATACCATTTAATGACGAAGCACAGAAAGATGATGAAGACTGCTATCAGGACGGCGATAAGAGCAGTGCACACAATCAACAGAATTAGAAGCTGTTTGGCACGCGTTTCTTGGTCTGTGAAGAGATAAAATGAAAGCTATCAATAACTAGTAAATACTGACAAATCTCTAGTGTGAAATAGAAAAATACGTCTTTTTAACTCTAATCTACTCTATAGTTATGTAAAAAGATAAATTTAACACCGTAAAAAAGTATGTGGAAAAACTTACTGACGTTTCGGATGTTAATCCTTCGTCGGAGTAAAGAGCCTTTCCTCTTTACTCCGACGAAGGATTAACATCCGAAACGTCAGTAAGTTTTTCCACATACTTTTTTACGGTGTTAAATCTTTTTACATAACTGTTTCTTTAGACGCAGCTCACACTAGTTTACCGCTAGTTCCCACCATTTTACTACTCTATAGTTCTCTGCCGTACTTATAAAGCTTGAAATCGTTTGAAACTTGCAGATATTATAGCGAAAACACTTCTCAACAATCGGCCATTTTGTTTGTTTCCATATATGGTATGTTTTCCCTAAAGGAAGCCCAAAACTAAAATACAYAGGGATCCCGCACGAATGCCATGAATACTGATGAAAACAAATGGTTAGCATTAATAAACCGCCCTCTTACGCAAAGAAGGTTATTATATTTACTTTTAATATTCTTACCCTCTTCCTTTTGCTTCTGTGTTTTTGCTTGAAAATCTACAAAAAAATAAAAAATAAATTGAGATTTCTGGCCGTTATTATGAAGCARCACGCAATGCATTGTAGGATATGTTTGGGACAAAACATGGCGGATATCTTTTTTTTTTCAAGAAACTGAACCCACAATGCATAGCAAATCAAGTAGTGACGTAAAAGGTTCAGAGATCTATTGCGATTCGTAAGAAAATGCGGAAAAATGTGTTGGTTTCTTGCACGTTGGTTCCTTAGTTCGTTGGAATGGTGCCACGRCACATCTGCACASCAAACCCCACTACGTTTTATTTTATGATAACGTGATTTATAATTAGACATATTTGAACAATCGATGGAAATCTTAC